CACTTTTTTTTGGGGGGGGGTGCTGTTTTGTAGTTTTGATTTTTTGTTTTTTGTTTTTAACCCTGCCTGGCCTGGAACTCACTATATAAACCAGGCAAGCCTCTGTCTCTGACAAGTGAGTATTGGGATTAAAGGTGTACACCACCATGTCTGACTACAATTCTTATTTTTTTAAGCTGTGTTTCTATTATTTTACTTAAATATACAAGTGTTATTTTTATGATTGAACAAAGAAAATAAATTTAAAGAATCTAGAACAGTACTAGATTCACAGTAAATGCCAGTAAGATGTTAATTAAAATAAACAGTAAACAGGAACAAATATTTTGGGGTTAATGTGAGGCCTAATTTTTAACAATTATTAAAATAAAATAAAAATAAGAAATATGGAATGGCAGCCTCGAGTAGTGGCACACACCTGTAATCCCAGATCCCAAGAGTAACAGGCAAGAAGATTGTCACAAGTTACAGGGCTACAAAACAGATCTCAGGGGTGAGAGATGATACTGTTAAAAGTGCTTATATAGTGTGCATGAAGCCTTGGGTTGCCCAGCACAGAATAAACGAGGCTGGTGGCAAGGCCCCATAATCCAGCACTTGAGAGATGGAGATATCAAGATCAGTTCAACCTTAGCTACTGACTAAGCTTAAGGCCAGCCTGAAATACATGAGACTGTCTTAAGAAATAAATTATTAAGAAATACAAAATAAAAATGAAATGTCTTTTTCATCTACTTTCCTATTATTGATCATAATCTCAAAATTAATTGAATTAGTGTGCTTTCATTATTTCTCAGAAGGGAGTGGGGAAAGAAAGAGCTCCAGTGGTTGCTATGATGGAATCTCTTGTCTGTTCCTAAGAAACCTAACTTGTACACTAGAAACATAGGCCTTTCTCTTGCATCCTAGTTCATTCACATTATCTACAAAAACTTTTCAACAGCATAAAACTATTTTTAAAAACTTCATGGGCTATGTTGGCACAAGCCTATAATCCCAGAACCCAAGAGACAGAAGAAGCAAGAGAATCACATGTTCAAAGCTAGCCAGGACTACACAGTGAGTGAGTCTGTCTTAAAAAGAAAACGCATGAGTGCATGTGGAAGGGGTGGGGAATTAAAGTTTAAAAAAAATTAAACTTTCATGTCTTAGACCAAAGTTAAACCAACACACATTCCCATTAGATATCAAATAGGCCTCTCTTTTATTTTCTTTTTTTGCATCCTTTGAGGAAAGCCCAAAGAATAATTATTTTAATGACTTCTGTTTAGCACAGCAATATATAGAAAAGAATGAATCTCAGAGGTGATACAGTCCAATTTCACAGCATGACAAGTTTTTCCAAATCTATCAACTACTAGTCCAGCTGCCACATTTAGCAAAAAGTCCATTCACTACAGTGCAACCAATCCCACATCAACAGCAATTGCAAAGTTCTTAAAACCAAAGTTTGCTTTCTTATAATTTTCATCATTGTCTTAATTTTGCCCTCAAAACACTACATATACTAGGTCCTGGCCTCTCCTTCCCTAGTCTATGGTAAAAAAAAAACCTCAAATTATTCAAATATCCTATATATAAGTACAATTCAGTGTAAGTTTCCACTCTGAGGACAAGTTCCAGTGCAGTCTATTCTTAAAGAATAACAAAAACGGGCCATGAGGCTCAATGATCAAGAGCACCAGCTACAAAGCCAGATTTCTTAGATTCAAGTCTTGTTTCTGTTACTTATTAGCTGGTGACCATGGGCAAGTTATTGAGCTTTTTCTATACGTCAAATTCCAGCTCAGGGAAATTCAGATTAAAAATAGCTACCACTTTTCATGTGGCTAAATGAAGCACTAACAACAGTGGCAGGTACACAATCCATTCTGTATACATTAGCAATACTAAAGCAAAAGCACAGACAAGGAATGTAACATCTCTGTCCTGGTTACTTGGCTTCTACAAAAAACAACAAAATGACATCTTATTCACAGTCATATCATGCTATGTATGGCACTTATATTCAGATGAAATCTTTCAATGTTTTTATATATTGCTACACACATTCAACTGTTATTATTAACCTATGATTTACTAACTATTTATCATAGTTTTTTGAGACTTTTCATGACAGTGACTTTTATCATTCAACCTTCTCAAAGCAGATTCAATATGAAAAGGAAAGAAACTCAAGCAACTTCTAGGAGCTAAGGAAGAACCCTGGAAAGCAGAAACACGTGAGTGGAAAGTTTCTGGTGTGCAGTTTTTTAAAGAGGATGTGAAAAGGTTAATGTTCAACCTTTAAGACAGTTGAGGAAATAGACCTCACTTCCTCAGGCCAGCGTTCAGCCCCCAACTGTGTCTAACTTGGAAAGAACTTGTCATGAGTCAAGGCTTTTCATATCCCTCCCTTTTGAAGGCACAATGGAAACAATTCCCCTAGAACAAAGGATTGCGTCAGTGAACTCTCTGCTCTTTCAAGTTGGAAGGACAGTTGATTCACACCATGTGTCAGAGAGAAACACCAGTTAGAACCAAGTGAGATAAATTTTGGGTCTACAGAGCTGTTTAATATTAAACTGTAATAAATCATCTTTACAGCAAATTATAAACAAAATATTTTGTTTACCCTCCCTCTCATATGGTCCTTCCCTTGAAAAGAAATTTTAAGACAATTCATAATTTTTGAGGCCACAGATGCTCCACCAAGAAATCATTTTCAAATGTCAGCATCTAGACCCTACGACTAGCGCCATTCCCAACAGCCTGCCTTAGTGCACAGACAGCCTTCCTAGATGGCCCCTTTTGTTCCAAGATCAGGTAAGGTTAGTGGTCATAGTAGTAGTTTTGTGATCAACCCACACAGAGGCACCTTAGTATCCACTATAGTTAATAATTTTTCTTAATACCTGAACCAAGAAGACAAATATATGGTCAACTATAAAAATAATACAAAACTGGTTTTATTCTTAAGACTGAAAGACGATCAAACCTAGGAAAAATTATCTATATGAATTTAGGTCAAGAAAGGTCTTAAAATAAGGTCTTAAAATTGAACAGAATGAATGCTAATAAAACTCAAACAATAAAATTAACAATGAAAAAATAAAAGTTTAAGAAACACTACTTCAATAATGTTAATTTTTTTTTCATGAAACTTAACACGGTGAGAGACATCTCTCTGAAAAAGCTACGGTCACCAAGGCTATGTGATTAGTTCAATACAGGAACGAACAGACCATAAAGGGTCAAGAGATCTAAGACCGCAATCTATAAGAAACCTATCTTTAGCCAGGTGGTGGTGGCACATGCCTTTAATCCCAGCACTCTGGAGGCAGAGACAAGTGGATCTCTGTGAGTTCGAGGGCAGCCTGGTCTACAGAGTGAGTTCCAGGAAAGCTGCAAAGCTACACAGAGTAACCCTGTCTCGAAAACCCAAAAAAGACAAAAAAAAAAACCTACCTTTGTTCCAGGATACGTTCATCACTCAACCTAGCAGGGGTCAGATTACTTCCATAGGGAAGCTGATACTCTACACATATTAACCCTGAACTAAAAACACTGATGATCTGACATAGTCCCAATCATCACCAAAGAAACAAAGACAGAAATATATTGCTTCCTCAAAAAATTCATATTTAGGACACTCTAAAAGCTATGAAACAGTACTATCTCATTCTAGTTCTTTAATGAATAGAGTAACTTGACTATTCAACTAATGAGAAATAACATATTTTTTAATGTTTAATGATGAGTAACATTTTTTTAATGTTTAAGTTGTACCAAAATGGAGAAAATAAACTTTTAAAAGGGAAGAGAAATGTGACTATTAAATAAAATAATCAATTGGCCCAGAAAAGTAATAGAATTTTTTTCACAAAAATTTAACAATATTGGAAATGCTGCATGGTCTAAGCAATTTCCAACCATATGTTTCATTTGATATGTATTTACTAAGAACAAAAATGTTTAAAATGTTTCCCTTTGAGGGAGCCTATATTGTAATTAATGAAGTAGTACATCAGAAACTACAATTAATAGTAATTACAAACCTGATGGAAATTAGTTCCTAAGTCTGTTTGTCCACTTAAGTATTACACCAATATGAGTAAAAACAAGCAGCACAAAAACATCTGTCAGAAATGTGTTCGAGTTACTGAAAACAAATAATAAAAAGAAGCTAAAAATCTTAAAAGAAACGGGTGAACGAAAAGACACAAAACAACAGAACGACCACAGACTTCTCACATAAACCATGTAAGCAAGCAGACAATGGAAAAATGGCTTTCTGGTGCTGAAGAAGAAACTGTATGCCTACAACTCTACATCCTTCAAAACCAAAGGACTCCTAAGACTGTTTTAGACAAAATCTAAGAGAAAGCATTATCAGTAAAACTGAACTGTAAGAAATATTAAAGAGAGGGTTTTTTTGTCACAGAAACTATAAAATCTGATGAAAATCTGGGTCTACATAAAGAAACAGAGCATGTGAAGTGGTAAATATAAGATTTTTATCATTTGTTAATTTCTTCAAAAGGTAACTTTAAAGTGAGATGGAGGAGGGAGAAAAGGAAGAGGAGGAGAAAGAGACAAAGGAATTGCAATCATGGAAGTTATAAAATGGAGAAGTGAACTGTATGTTAATAATGCCTTAAAGACCAATGAGGGAAATGAAGCATACTGTTAAAAGAACCTTACATTAAATGGGAAATGGAAAAATAATATTTAAAAATAGACTCTGATAAGGTAAAGACATATATTACATCCTACAGCAACTACCAAAAACATAGACAGAAATTCCATATAAGACATACCAAGTGAACCAACAGAGTACAACTGAACCCTGAAAAAATACCTGGTTATCCTAAATCAGTTCATGAGAATAATAAAAACAACAACATCATCAACAAAGCAGACAAAGAACAGATAGGACAAATAAACAGAAAGATAACGAATTTAAACCTAGCATATAGTTATTAACATAAACTATCTCTTCCTTTTTTGGCTTCCATTCCTCCCTCCCCGTGTATAAGGCTACTGTCAATCTTGAGTGACACTTTGGTGAAACTTCATTGCTTATGTTCACCCTGCTTTGAGAATCTCTGAGTTTCCTGAATTTATTTTTCTATTTTCTTTTTCTGCTATTGTGCCCCACTCTATAAAAAAGGAATACAGAAATATTTATTATCTATTACATTATCTCTAGTCTCTGATTCTTAATGGTAGGACAAAAGAGAAAAGGAAGAAAAAGTAAAAAGAATGATAAAAACAAAAATATGACAAATAAAAAATGTTTATGAAAAAATCATGACATGATTTGGCATATATTTCATGCTTAATGAATGACAGTTGCAATGGTGTAGTAGTTTTTGCTCTTGTTTCATTCCTTGGAAGACATGGAAATAACTCTTAACTTTTATGGGCAGTGTTGTTCCTAGCAAATTCCTAGAAACAGTTAATGTCACATTTGGTTCTTAGCTATTGCTAGCTATGGAGGGAATAAGCAACAATGTCACAAAAAATACCATGAGGAACATCTGAAACTCAAGAAAAAATTTATAGTACCTAACATTTCTGAACACTTTACTTTTTTTATTTCTCACTCTAATTTTTACAAAGAAACTCATCAGGATCTTTTGTGAATATTTGTTATTAATTTTCTAAAGGTAGGCCCATATTTGTAAATATGATATTGCTGCTTCCTTGACATCAAGTTTAAATAAATATAATTCCTACTATAATCAATCTGTCCTCCTCTCCACACCTCACTATATCATACCTCTTCTCCTTTCTCCTCCTCTAAATATACCACTTTACTTTTTCTAAATATTACTTATATAAATAGTATGATCATGTTTTTAGTTTACATCTTAACAAAAAGTAAATTAGACATTAACTCTCTTGCTTTTTTATTTATTTTCCTGCCCTTTTCCAACTGTAAACATGAATTTTATACTGACAGGATGATAGTATATATTCTGTTCTATAACTGTAATTGTTTTGCATGGATTGCAAATGCTTTGTTTTTGAGAACCATTACACAGTGTTGGTATAACTTTAACTTTACAAATAATCTTGACTTATAAGTCTGGTAGTACATTAAGATTTCCCTTTTTTTATTGGACTCTCTTTTGCTGGAGAACTCATTCTTGAATCTCTCCTTTCCCTATGCTCCAATCTAGACTGATCCCCTAAAGGCCTCCTGTCTGATGTTCTTTCTCAGTTAACTAGGAGATGCTCAAGGAACCAGAAATTAAGGGACAAGATATTGGAGAAGAGAGGGAATGAGGAGGAGTGAGCCAATACTCTTCAGTCACTTCTTATGCTCACAAGGCATTTGCCACATCTGTGCAGAGTAGGCTCAAATTCCCAGGAAAGGAGTCAAGCAGAAGACCAGGACTAAGAGGCAGTAAAGAAATCTGCTTTTGACAGTTTTATGAACCTTAAGTTATTTAAATGAGACATAAAAGATTAGAAACCTATTGAGGAGAAACTGGAAGAAAATAAATAGAATTATCCCCTCAACAAATTTGAATTCTTAACCTATAAACTAAGCAAATAAAAAATTTTTTTTAAAAAAAAAAAAAGGCCTAAAGAAGCAGAATAATTTTAGGGACTCTTTGTTTACTTTTGTTTTGTTTTGTTTTGTCCTCAGCAGATAAAATCTTTTTATTAATTGAAAACAGTTTTTCATACAATATATTCTGAGTATAGTCCCCCTCAACTCCTTCCTAATCACCTCCACTTCCTCACCCACCAAAATCCACACCCTTTCTTTCTCTCTCTCTCATTAGAATACAAACAGACATTGTGGTGGTAATCTAATTGTATTGAAATATTATTTTGATTTGTATTGAAATATTAATTTGATTGTATGTTAATAAATAAAGTTGTCTGGGGGTCAGAGCTATTAGAGCCATAGCAAGAGTGTGGCGGTGGTGGCACACGCCTTTAA